GAGAGAGAGAGAATCCCTGTTGGGGGACGACGTTGGCCTGGTACTTTTGAGAAATCGTCCGTGACGAGATCCGTGTGTCACCGAGTGGGAAAATTCGGACAAAGAGTAACGACGGTTGCTGGTTCCCCTTCGAGAGAATCGTCCGTGAAATCTCGTCTCTCTGCGGAATTTTCGGTGTTGAGCTCGAAGAAGGAGACGTGGATTAGGAGGGGGGAATAATTCGAGGACGTTGAGCGAACGGTTGCTCTAATAGAGACGAATTAGGCGCTGTCTCGACGTGGCCCGACGCCGATCTATTAACGTTGATTGCATTCGAATGCAAATTCGCGAGGAGAAGGAGAAGAGATGGCAATTCATCGCCAAAGCGATGCACTTTCGCCCCTTTCCGTCCAAAGCGCGCGAATAACTGTCCTGTCCCGGTTTTGCACCGATCGATGGTCCAGGATGGACGAGCGAAAGAAAAAAAAATTCGAGCGTGTGAAGTAGGTGGAAAAATGAGGAGGGGAGAAATATCGCCGAGATATCGAAGGGAATAAATGAACGCGATGCAATTAACGAAGAAAGGAAAATCCGATTTTCCGGGCGTTGATCCACGATGGCCTCTCGTTTCTCAAAGACGTTTTTTTCACACACACGAGAAGTGAAAGCGTATGGGACCGAGTGAAATTTTGGCGAATCTTCGTCGAATAGCCGTCGCGACAACGGTTGGAAAAATAGCGGCGGCTAAATTTCCCCCGTAATCCGTTTAATTCTCCTCGACGTGGCGAATTAATCGGCACGCCGGAGCCCGGAATTAATATTAATGACCTCGTAGTAACTTAATTCATTCCGCTCGAATAATGCTACTTCTAACCCGGAGGGGAAAAAGGGGACCAAAGTTTCCCCGATCGATGAACTCTCGGCTCCACGACTCTCCATCGCGCGATTTTTCCTTTAAACCATCGACGCTGAAACGGAATCACCTCCGATGATAGCGGATGGTCGATGGACGGAAAATGGATTCGTTTCGCGAGGATATTCGTTGCGCGAATATCCCCGCGACAAACCGATTAATTAACGCTTAACCTTTCGGCTAATTCGATTTGGAAGCGAGCGCGAATGGGCAGGGAAGGGGGAAAATGGCGAAATAAGCCGCGTGCAATTTACTCGATTGAATTAGCGTATTATCGGCCGTTTCGATCGATCCCAATATCCCGGGGTCGGATTTCGCCCATTAAGCGAATCAAATTCCAAGTATCGTTCCAATCCGGGATATTCGATCTAGACTCGTCGAAAAATTGTATTTTCACCGTCCACTCCTTCGTTTCTCTCTTATCGACCGTGCGAAATGCACACCACTGCGTGTATTCACGGATAGAAGCGAAGAGAAACGAAGAGAAATCGCTGCGCGAACGCTTCAATCCTGTATATGCCTACGCACGCGAAACTGTCTCCTCGAGCGGTGGAAACTTAATCTGCGGCCTGATTCAGCCGGCTGGAATTTGACGGACGAGTCCCGTCTGTCTGCCTTCCGCCTCTGTCATCGCGGATTACAATGTGCCGTTTAATTATTCAGAGTCGAGGGAAATTTCCCTCGATCGTTCCTCGAAACGAAAGAGAATTATATAGACGGTTGGCTCGGTCGATTCGAAGATCCGCTTCGATATCTGCGCGAAACGAGAAACAACGCGACCATCTTTTTCCTCCGAATTTTAATCGCTTAATTTCTTCGAGCGGTAAGTAAGTTTCTCGATTTGGCGTTTCGAGTACGTAGATATCGCCGCGCGAGTTTCCGTTTCGTGCAAATAGAGGAGAGGGATAGAATTGAAGTTGGTCGGGTGCCAGAGAAATCCACCGATCCAATCTTTTCTTCGCTCCACGGACTAAATTTCGTTGATGGTTTCGATATCGCGAGGTATTATCGATTTCTTTCCAACGATCGAGCACAAAGGCTGTCCTCTCGATAATTTTCCGAAATCGAAATCGAAATCGATTTCGATTCCTTCCGATACTTCTGTTTTCACCGTTTCGCCGAACATTTTCACGGATTACCGACTGATATTTGCAATTCCATCGGGTATTATTCGAAAGATTAAAACCACCAACGATGAACGTGACGTTGCCGTGTTCCGTCGACATCCCTGAAAATCCTCCTATTTCCGCGTAAAGTCCGTTCGAGCGAGGCCTCCGATGCGATTCACGCCTCCGAGGAAAAAACAGGGAGAGGGGAAAAAAAAGGATCTCGATCGTGTGGTACCATGTAAACCGATTATCTGTTTCGAGTGAGTGCAGAGAGAGAGAGAGAGAGAGAGAGAGAGAGAGAGAGAGAGAGAGATTGGTAAGAAAGTTGTTGGCCGAGGAAAGTTCGTTTGAATCGAACGAACGCGGAGAGAAAGAAGATCGGGGAGGAGTTTTAATTAAAACTCGAGCGGTGAATGACGGTGAATATCGAGTTTATCGGTTTCCCTTGATTAAACAGGATTGTCGACCGCGCGATGATAGCCGGCCAGGGATATTGGTAAAGAGAGGATCGAACATAACGCGCGTTTCTTCGAACACTCTATAAATTCCGAGCCGTTAAGTCGATTTAAACTATTCCAATTGACGAGAATGCCGTTCTATGAATCGCCGTTAGAGACCCATCAATCTTCATTCCTGTCGATTGATCTCGAACGCGCGATTTTCAATCTATTTGATTATCGTTCAGTTGTAAAGTTAATTTTAAATAGTATTCTCCTCTTGTTTTTCAAATTTAAACGTTTTGTTTTTCGTTTGGCGAAAGAGAGGAATCAGTCTTATTTAATTCTTACGAAACGCGTATCTTTTTATACACGTAGATGCGTATGAGAATATACGTAGTAAATACCTATATATTTTGTCGATAAGTTAGATGGCGATCGAAAAAATTTTGATCAGCGCCATCTCGCGTTTGAATCACCGAAGCTTCGACTCGGTAGTAGCGTAGCAGAATGTGCAAGGAGGTATTCGACAGACAAAGAGAATAATATCGTGCGAAAAAGACGGAGAAAGCGTGCCACTATTTTTGGTTATGTAACTCCTGATATGTTACAATATAATGGACGCAACGTCGAAAATTAATTAATCGCTCGTTCGTCGATAAAAACTTCTGCATCTTTATACTCGCGTTTTAAAACTAAAACATCACACAAGTTTCTCGTGTAAATTTTAACGTGATATTCTTTTTTAGTTAATTATTTATATAAACGATTATTACGAAGAATCGTTTCAATCGTAAATTTGTAATAAATAATCAATTTATTCGTTCAAATAACAACGAAATTATAAATAAAATTTACACGTAAATGTAAAGGAAGATGTAATATTTTAGATTCATGTATTTATATTTAGAAATAGGTTCCATGATAACGAGAAAATTGAAGAAAATCCGTGTATAAAATCTATATGAATCAATATATAAAAGAAAGATGGAGGAAGCGTATTATTATTTTTACTTATACATATATATTGAAAATTAAATATTGAAAATTAATAATTATTCGTTTGTTATTAAAAATTTCTGTACTTTTAAATTCGCGTCTTAAAAATAAGAGTTTAAACAAGTTTCTCGTGTAAATTTTAATGCGAAATTCTTTTTAATCAATTAATTTAGATTATTTTAACAAATGTTTCAATCTTCATTTCCGTAATCGAGTAAGAATCGATCGATTTATTCGTTGGAACAACAAAGAAATTATACATGAAATTTATATGTGAAAATAAATGAGGATATAACATTTCAAATGCATGCATTTATATTTAGAAATTAATCTTATAATAATGAAAAATTAGCAAAAAACGGATTGAGCGTCGGTAATGTCGATCCATGTACGACGCGTTAATCATTAATAAATAATTAATCGGAAAGAATATCGCGTTAAAATTTACACGAGAAACTTGTCTGAGGTTCCAGTTTTAAAATGCGAGTATAAAAGTGCAGAAATTTTTATTAACGAACGAGCGATAAATTAATTTTCAACGTTGCGTCAATTACGTTAGAAAATATTAGGAGTTGCATAACTAAAAATAGTGGCACGCTTTCTTCGTCCTTTTCGCACGGTATTGCTCTCCTTGTCTGTCGAATACCTCCTTGCACATTCTGCTATGCTAGTAACGAGTCGGAGCTTCGGCGATTCAAACGCGAGATGGCGCTGATCCAAATTTTTCGATCGCAGTCTAACTTATCGGCAAAATATACGTATTGTACTCGTATTTTCATATTTCTCTAAAATATGTTACGAAGAAAGAATTTCGTAAATTCGATTCGACCGCGATTAATTCGAAACGCATACGTGATCGCGATTGACCAGGGAACGATATTTCTACGAACCAGAGAAGGACTTTTCACCGAGAACTCGCAGTAAGATTCTTGTACCGCTTCGAATGTTTGACCAATACTAATATTTGTTTCAGCGCAACGGAAATTTATTAAGCGTTTCGACGACTCGACGACGCACCTAACCTCTAACACGTATCCCGAACCCACGCATGTACGCGAAGTAGGATCTGTGTGCGAAGTGGGATCTGTGTGTAAAGTGGCGAAGAAAATGAAATCCGAAAGGGGGGAACATCGAAATTTGCTTTCGCGTTGCGCGTCGTTTTCTGTAATGAATGGCGTTTCCCGATTGTTTGGAATTTTTGGCGGGCGAGTTTTAATTAAAACTTGTCCGATTGAATCGCGAACGAGGAAGTCCGATGCCAGTCGATGCTAGATCCTGAGAAAGTTGGTGGATTTAAAATTCACGTTGCGCGTGACTCTCGAAAACTTTTCGATGCGGTCGACGGGTAAAAGGCGAGAGGAAAAAAAAAAGTTGAATAGCCGTCGAATTATCCAGTCTGCTTTTACAGATTCGATCGAATCGGAAATAAATCGTGGCGGAAAACGAAAAGATTTAAAAGGAAAAAAAAGTGACGTGCAAAGTTTTTAACGGGATTCGCTTCGTTATTCGTGAAATCGATTCGAGGATAATGGAACTACAGACGAAAAAAAAAAATATATATATATATATATAAACGATGGTGAATTGAATTTTCATCGCGATTCAACGTTGTTCCGCTTCGCATCAGTTGCAAACGAATCATCGGTTTTCAACGTTTGCAACTTTTTACACCGGTTACAACTGATGGTATATTTTTTTTTTTTACACAAACTTCGTTACGCGAATAGTCATGGATGCACGTAATTGCTCGAATTCGACTTTTCAACTATTCATTCGGTAGGTATGCCGAAGATAACAAAGATAACGACGCATTGCCTCACGATTGCTATGATTTCCAAGAAAAAAAAGCGTTGAGATGGGATCGATCGATTAGCACTCGACGCGAGGTTAAAACATCAAACTGTCCGTGGACAACTGATGACTCTATAAGCTTAATAACGCACGATCGCGACCAAAGAACTTGACCGAACGAACGTGTCCCTCGCATCGACTGATTTATAGCCGTCTCGGTCGAAACAAAGAGACTCGCCTTCGTGCACATGCTTCACGTATACGCGTGTACATACGTATATGCAGTGCTTAGGAATGCGTGTTTGGATCGCGCGTGCCGTGTCGACCGAAATTAGAAAATTGATCGGCCGAGAGCGCAGGTGTGAAATATGGAAAGGAAAATGATCGCGATAGATGAGGTCAGCTTCTTTTTCCGTTGGATACGAGCGAGTGGCGTAATCGCGTTCTCGGGCACGAGGTCGGATTTACGTGCGTTCGATTCTTCGAAAGATGAAGAAATCATTTTCGCCGTATTTAATTACCAAGATTGCGCGAAACCTACGAGGTCCGCCATTTTCTCGCTTTTATCATGTTTTCAGTCAAAACATAGACGATGATTATTTTTTTTTCAGGGAAAACAATCAGATCATCGGCTCTTACTTGGAGATCGAGGACATCACTCTGGAAGATTACGGAGAGTACAAATGCGAAGTTAGCAACGGAGTAGACGAGGAGATCACGTTACCCGCTCACGTTTATCGACAAGGTAAATTCCATCCGGCGAGGATTACGAGAAACGCAACGCGTGCGTATCCGTTGGCGAAAAATTGAGAAAGAAACGACCGCGTATCCGCTAGTTTACCACTAATTAACGACTCGATCCATAGTGGAAACGATGTCTCGTAACGATTTCGATCGATTTAATTCACCGCTCGTTACCGGCCTACGATGTAGCCCAATTAATCCCGTCCAATTAACCGAAATTCGTACGGCGCTCGCGTTTACGCTTTACCTTTTATCCTGCCAAAACTAACTTTGTATTTACTCCCTCGTTCCAATCCTTTTCTCCCTCCGATATCGCGATTCGCTTTTATCTCCAACGAACCGTTTCCATTCGCAGAGCCACAATTCGCGTTGGGACTGCAAAACGGATCCTGGAGAAGATCGTTCCTGGTGGGCGTTCTAGTGCTGGTTTTGCTGATCTCGGCCGGCGCGTTCTACGCTCGTTGCTGGCTGCCACTGGTTCTGCTCTGTCGCGACAAATTCGCCCCTCTCGAGGAGAACGGTAATTATTCCATTACACCCTTGCAACCAGGGGATTAATCGAATTCGATCTTTTACTCCGTAACCCATATAAGGAAGACGGAACGTTTATACATTCGTTAGAGAAAGAGAAAGTGTAAGTCTCTTTTTTTTTTCATGACCACCTCGTAGTCTTTGGCTCCCTTTTCTTCCTTTTTTTCTCTTTCAACTTTTTCCTCCCTTCATTCCAACTCATCATGAACATTTTAAGAGACGGTTATCAATTGTCTTTCTTTTCTTTATCCAAATTAATATATCGAATCCTCAGTATTCCAAGTTTTAAGAATATCTCGAATAGTGTTCGGCGTCGCTCGATATCCCCAAGGATACTCACCCTAATATCCCCAGCGATTCGAGATCGGTTAATCTCGGTTTAATCCACGGAAAAGAGGCTGCATTAACGTTTCTCCCTTTCCTTCCTTACTCTTTATTTTGCTCACGAACTCGGATCTAACTGTTCCGGATAATCAAGGGGTACCTTCTCCATTGAACGACGCGCCATTAAACGCAATTCCTCGGTCCGTTCCTCTCCTTATACACCTCTATTCGCCGAGTAGTAGCCCCCGTTTCGCGATAAGCCTCAGCCTTGCCGCTTATCGGATTGTTGATTTTCAGATAGAAAACGCTGTGGCGGATTTTTGAAGCGAGGATACGGCTCGAAGGAGAAGGAAAAATCGAACACGAGCGTTGCGAAAAAAGAGATGGCGTTGTCTCTCGTCCGATAAGATCGTGCCGCCTAATACGGAAGCTGGAAAATTGGCGCGAATTACGATTCTTCTCGGAAGAGACGCGCCTCCTCCGTTAACGTTTTGCTGAGATCGTTTTCTCTCTATTAGCCGAATAACCATCGAAGAAAGTGAAACGAGACCATCACGGTTCCTAGAAGTCGATCGATTTGTTTCCAGAAAAGAGAAATCCGGAACGTCTGATTTCTTTCTTCTCTTTCTCTCTCTCTCTCTCTCTTTCTCTTTTTCCAGGAAAGAGAAATCATCGACTTGAAAAGTCATCGTCGATGGCGGGACATTTATCGAGATTCTTACGATTCTTCTTCGAAAGGGAGAAAGAGGAAAAATTGCGCGAAACTGATAAATAATTTTTTTGCCATAAACTCGAGGTATACTACTCTCCTCGCTTCCCAGAAATTTCTTTCACCGTCCGTTTTCGTTTCAACTTGTAAATTGGATTGAATGTGTGCTGATCATGAATTTTGACGAATTTCAGATGGAAAGGAAAGCGACGCCCTGGTGTGCTACCACGAGAAAGACTCGAACCTGGCCATCGGCATAGTTATACCCACGTTGGAGTCGAGGCATCGGTACAAGTGCACGTCGCTCGAGCTCTCCCAATTGAATCAGAATTGTAAGACTAGGCTTTAATTAAACACGGCTCTCTCCCCTCGATTATTAAGTTTCCTGTCGCGTGGTGGCGGACGGAACAACTCTCTCTTTCTCTCTCTCTCTCATCGGCAAACCTCTCGAGTCGAGAACGCTCGGTCACAGAGATCTGTATGGAAAATAGGAAAAATTTCATCGTTCTTATCATCATCGTCGCCCAAGTGACGTTGCAACGATGCTCGACTTGTAAATGTAATGCAAGTTGGCAAATTGTAGAAACGAGGAGGAATCGCTGTTGCGTATTGAAACGAAGTTAACGCGATCTAGTCTTGGCAGCCTCTCACGAATATCATCAACGACGGGTGAAAAACATATTCAGACGCTGATTTCGTTCAAATTGGCGGGGGGGG